GTATTTGTATTTGTGGATGTGTCTAAAGTGAACCCACAACGTTAGTGATTGTGACGAAGTGCCCTTCGCCACTTGTGCCTGGAGGGGACTACTGGCTAGCCTCCTGCCTACCGACTATGGCCCCTGTGCTGATAGCTGTATTTTACCCTGCAGAAAGGTTTATTTATGTATTTCTTCCGGGGCGTTCGGGACTTTCAGTATGTGAGTAGTGCTACCCCAGATAGCTATGCCATGGAGCCTATTTGTGTAACAAAAGACTATGGAAAAGACTTTGGCTCCACGGCAATTGAACTGTAGGTAGGTGATCTGAGCGCCATTCGGTAATATTGTGCACTCAGATCTAAGCTATCTGGGGATATGTTGCATGTATATGTTTTATGTAGTAATTGTAACATTGTGTAATTTTATGTCTTTTTGTAACCATGTGGTTAATGGAGTTTTGCCTCTGTCCTGGGAGATAATTTGATTACTTCCCAATTATCTCCAGGATACAGAGGAAGGATTGTGATGTCACTGTGGGAGTGTTTTGTTTGTATTGTCTGTGATTGGCTGATATCCAATATGTGTCCCATTGTTCCATCAGGTCCGCTAGGGGAGTGTCCACCTGGTGGACACTTGCATAAATACCGGGCAGGTAGCCCTCAATAAACCAGACCTACTTGCACCTTTCTTGAAGCCTTGGCTCATGCTTGGGGGAAGGGATACCTACACTCTGGGGATTGCTCTAATCACATACTCCCCAGAGTAAGCTCATGTAAGAGCTTGATTTGTTCCTGCTACGCTCTCTGGATCTAGGAGAGGTTCACCCCCTGGGAGCTGGATCCTGGTCGTGGATCCAGGGTGGGTGAGAGACGGCGAGACCCCGGCGCAGCTGCATCGCTGGAAGTGGGGTCCGCAGTGCTGATGGTGTCAGTTGGAGTGCTCGGAGTCCTCGGCAAGCGCTAGGAGCATTGATTGGCAGAGGTACTCAGAGTGCCAGCGGTCCGTCACAGTAATGAATGAGTGAATCGGGGCCTGTATGTTAGGAGATGATAATGGTCCCTGTGATGTAAATGTGGAAGGATTCTGCAAAGTTCTATATCACTCACAGCTGAAAAAAGTGCAGATGGATTTGGAAATGCTGCAGACAGATGAGGATTGCTAATTAGACTAATCCCCAGGCCCTTTTCAGCATTTCCCTTTCAGACTGCCATAAAAGCTTGGTCTAAATTAAGGCACGGTGTGTAATTACCGTGACATCATATCGTTCTCGCGTTTCAGCAGAGTCATGGGATAGTACAAGTGATCTATGTAACCCTGCCCTGGTCACGAGAAAGGTGTGTCAACACAGTTGGTATGAGGTAAGAAGGAATTCAATAATAGCCGTGTGTTGGCAAAATATTCAATTAATAGCTTAACTTATCAATAAGGGGCACACAACATATAGTGAGTGTAGGGGTGAAAAGTAGCTGACGTGCAGAAATAGACCCCCAACATGCTAAGATTATGCTTCCTCGGCTCTATAAGCAATGATGACACCGGGCTTCTATTTATTACTGTATGGCTTAGCTAACACAGCCAGACATTGTCGTAGAAGAGTGAAAATAAAGTCATAGCTTTCATTACATCATGAAACTGCATCGAAACTTGTGTGTACTCCACTTCTAAAAAAGTTAAACAAAATAGAACACTGAGCTTATACACAATACTCTCTGCATCCAGAAACAGAGGCTTAATAAACTCAAGGTAAGTCACAATATACACTTGAACATAAACAGGAAACTTCATATTCCAGGCAATCCCAGAAGGAAATCCACCTGATGGCTGAGCAGAAGACATCAGATAACAAGAAGATGGAAAGGAGTTGGAAGATCGAGAATCTGAAGTTGAAAAATGCAAAAATAAGAGCACAGCAGAAGACAAGGAAAACCACCAGGCAGGTCGGCATATCCTGCTAAAACTGGTGAAATACGTGAACCTTTATTCTGTGGATATTGCATTGCTCCCAGCTGGTTTAAGAGAAATCACTCCATGAAATGCCAACGTGGATGCTCGCAGAATTGCTACCCTGACACAAAAAAGCTACGGGAAGCAAATGGATTTTAAAAGTCACATATAAAGCAGAAGGATATTGTGGCGAAAATGACTTTGCCACTGGTTTTTGGAGGGGCATGTTTGCTTGCCTCCTACCCTGTGACTATGGGCCCTGAAATATACCTTGCCCAATACACTTTAAAAGGCTCCATTCATGTATTGTAAGTACTTTTGTACTCCATAAAGAGAGAACGACGGTTGGCCCCAATTCCCTGGAACTGTTTTGGGCATAGGACCATGTGCACGGTCGGTCAAAACTATGACTCCCAGGAAATTCCTGAACCGATCTGGGTGATTTTTGGATATGCTGTTCACCCAGATCGGGGCTATCTGGGGATGTAGCTGTGGGGTTTTATGTGTTTTTAAGGTACTTTTTGGGGTTTCATAAAATTGTATGTTTTGAGTTAGATTAGTACAGTTCCTGATTCAATTATCTCCCAAGCACAGAGGAGGGATTCTATTGTTTGTGTATGGGAGTGTCTCACTGTATGACTCTATTTTTATTGGTTTATTCACTTTGTGTCCCTGTGCCCAACAAGGTCCACCTGGGTGTCGCCCTTGTTGGGAAACTTGCATAAAAGGCTTTTATGGGGATATGTTGTGTTTTGGGGTGTTTTCCAGACTTTGTAAAAATTTGTGTTTTTTTTTCTGCTTAGAGTTAATTGAGTTTGTCCATTGTCTTTGTTAATTGTATCACAGGCAGAGGGGAGGGATTGTGTACACTGTATGGGAGTGACTGAATGTAAAATACTGTTTTGATTGGCTTGTTGTTCCTGTGTCCCAGTGCCCCACAAGGTCCACCTGGGTGGTAACTATGTGGGGAAAACTGTATAAAAGGCAGTGTGCCACAATAAACCTTGAGTTCCTGTTTTACCCTCAACACAGAGTCTCTGTCTCATGTGTGGGGGAAAAGGCTGCAGCTACCCAGGGGATTGCTATATCATTATACTCCCCTGGGATTATAATCACTTAGCTCTTTTAAGAGCTGTTCCTGCTTAACTATTTGGAGGAAGAGAGGTTCACCCACTGGAACCTGGAGCCTCCGTTACAGAAATACTGGCAGATATAAGACTATTTGCTGAGAAATATAATTATAGTGAAACATCCACTCCAGTAATGTCATACCCAATCACCGCCCAACAAGTGAAGCTTCTTCATGTCAAAACGTCTTTCCTAAATGAGACATCAAAGATGACTTCTTCATGGAACAAGCATGAGATGTGTGACTAAACCTCAAAAAACATCTCTGGTCTCAAACCACAAGACCTTGGATGGTCAATGAAGTGCCCACAAAGAATGGTGTTACACAGAGGAAAGCAGACCCGTGTCTATATTCAAGGACCAGAGACTGATAGACATGTTCATTTATTATTACAATATATTAATACATTGTAAGCAGGAAGGGTATTGGGACTAAATAGTCAGTACAATTAAACAGAACCTGGAGGTTAAAGGGTTAGGAGACATTGTTCATTTTATTGGTAATTCGAAGGAGATACAACAAGATGTGAATTATCTTCTCAGTCGAAGACAGAAGATCGCTGAATGCTTTCATGTGCAAGATGCAATAGAAGTAAAAACCACATGGACCTGAGATATATAAAAAAAATACCTTTACCCATGAACGATCATTTAGCAAAGCAATCGTAAAATGAGTGTAGTTAGCTCCTGTAACCAGAGCAGTTATTGCCGCAGCAGGATTCTGTGCCAGGAAGAAGGAACTCTGGCAATGTGATTGAATGCAGTAAAAGGGGGGATGCAATACCTAAAAGGTTAAATCCAAATTAAGTTATGAATGCAAGCAACCTCCAATCCAAACTTATTAGATATGTCGATGCAGATTTGACTAGAGACACCACAGATCTCAGGTCTACGAGGAATTATGTCTTTAATTACAGAAAAGGAACATCAGTCTGTAAAGTCAATAACGATT